TGCCCCTCTACTGCCCACCAACATGCCCATCGCTCCCCTACCGCCCAAAACAAGTTCACCGCCCCTCAGCATCCTCCCACCGCCCCCCGGGTACCGCCCCCGTTGAGAACCAATGCTGTAGAAGCAGAAAAATATTACTTCTTGAAGCTACTGTGCCTGCTTCCAGTTTCAGCTTGCCAATTTTTGTATTTCCCCTTTCTCGTTATTTTGTCGTCATCACCATCATCACCCCTGTCAAGTTATTAATGCGTATAGGGGATATCATGGATTCTTTGCAACAAGCCCCATTAGTGCAAGATCTGGGAATATAAATAATTACAGTTATGATTTTGCTGTTCATTTCTCTCTCTTTTCTTCTCCTCCTTCTCCTCCTCCTGACTTGGAATAGATTTATTGCTGTTCTTGCATAATTGAAATTGATATGATGTATGCCTTTGTTCTTATTTTTCTTTCAAAAACAGTTATTCTCTATGACAGTTTCTTTTGTGCCACAGAACGACTCCTTCTAAAAGTAGGCAAAAGTTATTTAAGAATTCAAAAATGGAAAATAAAAATTGCCTTTTACAGGAGATATATTTTTACAAAGGATAAACAGCTCTTATGTTATTCACTTAGTTGGGGGGATGTATGTAAACATTCAATGGTGATTATAAGTAGCCCTCGCTTAACGTACACTCGACGGTGCTGAATGAAGGGTACTTATGACGGGTTCTTGTAGTTTTAGCCATTGCAGAGTTCCCCGTGGTCACATGATCATGATTCAGGTGCTTGGCAACTGGCTCACAATTATGATATTGTAGTGTCCCACAGTCATGTGATTGCCATTTGTAATAATCACTGCTGGCTTCTGACAAGCAAAGTCAATGGGGAAGCCAGCAGGACATTGCAAATGGCAATCACGTGACCATAGGATGCTGTAACCACGTGAGATTTGCCTAATGATGGCATCTGGGACTGCTGGAACTGCCATTGAGAGTCAGGATGGTCACATGACATTGCTCCTTACAACCGCATCGCTTAGCGGTGGAGTTCCCGGTCCCAATTACCATCGGTAAGTGAGGACTACCTGTAGTAGATTGTTGAATTGTTGAAGAAAGAGCAAACAAACATCTTTAGTGCTTGTTTGATTGAGAGATCAGTGGTTAGCACTATTGAATCTATATGGACTTTCCAAAATAAAGACATAATTACTTTTAAAATTGGTACAGAAAATCAGTGGATCATATAATAGGTATTTCTTGACATCTAGACAATATTATAACAATTTCTGAACACACACTTCTGAAAGTTATAGCCCTATTTAACAGTAATTTAAATGCATTTAACATGGTATCAGAATGTATCTTTTCTAAATGACAAAAATATACCATGGAACATGGAAGAAAGGATGATGGAAAAATGCCTTGTATTAACAGGAACACAATGATATCACTTTTTTGGCATGGAATATGCCAATAGCATTCATCCAATCATTGGGTATGCTTCTTATGTGAAGAAGAAACCATTTTTAAAAGTAAATCACTAGAGGAGAAAATTAATTTGTATGCATCCCACCTATGTTCTGAGCAATAGAGTTCACTGCTTTCTGCTAAGAAGGAACTCAGCAAGCATTCTGCTTCTGAACTGGAATTTTTATTGCACAATGAGGTCTAGTAGGCTACTGGCTTTTAGACTTAAATTATGCAGTGGACTGTTATATTTTCAATTCATGCTACATATGTCAACATGTATACCGATTTGGGAACTATTAATTAAGATATACTTGAATTTTATTCCAAAGTCAATGGTTCCAGTTTCTCAAATGATGAGAGAGACCCTATTTTTCAGAATGCAGAGCTAAGAAATGCTGTTAATAACCTTCTCCCTGATCAGCAAAAACATCTAGATTAGAAGTCCTTGGCAAGATGGACCATTTGCTTTGACCAGTAGTCTAGAATTCCTTTGATAATTTGGAGTAATATAATTATGAGTAAGATTAATTTAATTCTAAGCTTGATGTCCATTTTAAGAAGCATTTCTATTTACATTGCTTCACATTATTTCAAGCAAATCTATATACTGTTTAATAGCTAGCCAGGGGTGTCCTTCAAGATGTCCATTGCATAAATTTAGTGCATAATCTTTTCTAATTATACTGATTAGAAAATATTTAATTTTCTAGGCATTCAGGCATATCACTGGGTATCCATTTTAGTTTTGATCACTGTTTGGAATAAGGAATGTTGGGATTCAGCTTCTGTTTGGATTTAGCTTGAAAACTATTGCCATTGAAATCCTGACAGTTATTAGGATCCTTGTATCCTTGTTTCTTTGGTATCACCTTCAATACTTGCACTTAATGCTACAAGATTTACATATTTATTGAAATTGATTTAAGATGATTTAACAGTACGGCTCAGTACTGAATCAGTTCTCATTTCCAACCAGACCACCCTGCAGGAAACTTTTGTAGAGGAGACCACGGAGGTCACCATCTAGCTTTTCTAGCAATGGCTTATGAATGGCAATTGAGCTTGTGGAGTCAACTGACTGTTATCAGCTTGGGCATTCCTTCTTGGATCATTTCAGGTAGTAGTTTCCAATGAAGGTTGGAGCTGAGTATCGCACGGGATTGGCTCCCTTCCTTCCTATTGCACGCCTGGGAAATGTGTTCACACCAGGGGGCTAGAAGGGCTGGAGAGCAGATGGGCTTTCTTGAATCTGAGTGCCTGGATCTTGTTAGCCATCTGACTATGCTAATCTCTAACACCATTTCTTTGAACTCCTACCATCCAACAGATCATTTTCCTCTTTCTACCATATCTGATAAAGATTGAGAAATGAAAGCTATGGGTTGCAAAAGATTTGTAAACATATTAGATCTTCAGACTGTAATTATACCTCAACTTTTGTAACAATTGCAAAAGACTGTGCATGTCTCCCTATAAAATTTGTTTACCCAGCAGTATCAGGACTCTTTTTTTCTTTTTTCCATCTTTGGTTGTTAAGAATATAAACAAATGTAGGGAGTTAATATTTATCTTTGCTTGGTACTTATTTTAGCAAATAGAGCACTGAATTTAGATTCGTTTTTATTTTTTGCAAACCAGCAGTCATGTTTCCTATCCTGTTTGGCTTATGCATAGTTGGAATAATCCATGTTGCTCTTGCAGGTCAAGGTAAGCATTTTGTTTTAACAGGATAAAAAATATTATCACTTCTTAGAAACTGATCGGTATATTGTGGCATGAGATTTTGTACACCCCCCCCTTTTTTTTTCTTAGGGTGTCTACACATGTTAATTTGCATGTATGCATTTATGGTCTTTTTGTGAAATCAAATTGTTGAACAAACTTGGAGTCATATTCACACATTCTGCTGAATGTACACAGAACAAAAGCAGTCCGTAAGAACTTGCTTCCCTCTGCATGCCTACTGAATGTTTTCAAAACATGTGAAGTGGGATTTTAAACTTTGTACATTACTCCCGCAAATCTGCATCCAGAGATGATATCTCACTAAATGACACTGAAATGCTGCTAGAAGAATTCTCTGCTGATCATCTGACTGAAGGCTAAACTAAGTAGTATGTCAATGCAGCTCCTTTTTTTACACTGTTTTCTAAGTAGCTCAGGTGTCAGGGGGTGATCCAGATAGCAACTGTGGCACAGAGCGTTTCACTTTTCCCACTGATGACATCCCCAGATAGTCTCCTTCCCATGTTAGTAAGGCATGAGCCAACCAGAGTGAGGCAAATTTTATCTCCATCCTATATTGCATGATTCCTCTTTTCTTCAATACATTATATACATATTTTGAAAATAAGCAGATGTTTGTGTGACTTTTTCACACATCTAGTTTGAGCTTTAGTTTATACTTGTTTTAGCAATAAAAGATTAAATATAATCTTTAAATTGTTTAACAGGTTAAATAAAAGATTAAATTTAATCTGTTTTAATTTTTTATTATCTGTTTTAGTTGCTTTTTTAAAAAGTCATCTCCCTTGAATTCTCACCAGAGTAGAAAGGCAAGATACCAACTGAAGATGTAAAAACATACAATATACCCAAACATATGCCTTATGATCAATGATAATAATATTTCCGTTGTATATCTCAAACACAGAAATATTCTGGTTGGCAGCTTTCCTGATATTAATAAGCAAGGTGCTTGAAATTTTCCAGTGAATTTTCAGCTAGGGATTTTGTGGATTAAACAGGAAACATTTATATAACACAAATGTGCAGGACCAGGATCTCTTCCACCATACTCTCCCAAGGGGAGGAGAACCAGGATAAAGGAGTAGAGCCAAACGAAGAATAAAAATAAAGTTTGCAAAACCAACTTTAAGAAAATGGAAACTATACTAAAATTAAACATAATGCTTTCAAAACATTCGTTTGGAAAAAAATCAAATTACACCAAATTTTGACAGGACATCACATCTCCAAATCTGATAGCAAATTATACTACCAAATTCATGGGTAACTTTTAAAATGGAGTTGGCAAGACAGGAACGATTGGCAAGACAAATTCTCCAGCTTGAGAGAACAGTTGTCAGTGCATCCTAGCTGCCTCCCATCTCCTTGAAGAGAATGGCAACATATCTGTTGATTGGGACAGTCAGGACTAAAAAGAGGCTAGAATTTAAAGCCTGTGGAATAGATCTATATATGCTACATACTACAGCGGACACACCTTCTGTTATATGTGACTTCATTCTTGTTTGCAATACAGATTTTCAAGTCAATATTAGAAAGCAAATGAAGGATGGTAGATCTTGATCCTGCTCCTCCAAGCTCTGATTTATAGTTGTTATCTAAATAATTTATCTTGCATTCATACATTCTTTGGTCTCATCTGTGAAAACAGAGACAATATACTTGTTGACTATTTATATTATTGCTCCAGTACCATGCATGACTAATGTTTCATGTACCAACAAAGCTTTTCATACATGACTTGTTAGTGCTTGGTGTCTTCTAGTTTGCCCTAGACCACCTGAAGTACCACTGGCTACCATCAACATAAATAAGGAAGAATACAGTCCTGGAGAAGAAATTATATATAGCTGTGACCTAGGTTATATTCCCCAGTCAGACTCAATGAGTTATACGTGTCCTTTATCTGGTATATGGCCTAACATTACATTCAAATGTATACGTAAATATGTCCTTTCTGTAGTTTACCTTTTTGCTTTTTTACACAAATCAATATTCTTGCTTTTGTTTTAATGAAACTTATTTTCTGTTTTCAGTTTGGTATCTTATTTTATATGAGATGTCTCTAACTTTTGAAACCTATTACTTGAATCTTCCAAATTTCCATAGCTGTCCCCTGCTATTTTCTCCTCAGCAAAATCATGACAACATGATCATATTCTTGAAGTAAAAGCCTATATACTGTACCAAAGCTTTAAGGGACGTTTTGCCAGAGATCAGTCCTAGGAGAGCCAGTTTGGTATAGTGGTTAAAGGCACCAAGCTAGAAACCAGGAGACCATGAGTTCTAGTTCTGCCTTAGGCATGAAGCCAGCGGGTGACCTTGAGTCAATCCCTCTCTCTTAGTCCTAGGAAGAAGGAAGTGGCAAACCATTTCCAAAAGTCTTGCCAAGAAAACTGCAGGGACTAGTCCAGGTAGTCATTAGGAGTCAGTGATGACTCGAAGGCACATGTATGCACAGTGCTTCAAGGACTGGACCCTGGGACTGCAGTCTATACCTCATTGCTAAGTAAACCCCTAAATGGCCCTTTCCTTTCCAGAGGTTGGCAAGTGCTCACAAGGAAGACTTGAATTAGCTCTAGACTTGCATGAACAGGCAGATTCACTAAGGTTGATGTTGTTTGCTGCTGCATCCTCTCTTATAATTAAAAGCATTTTATAGGCCAAGGGCAGGTTGTCAGAATTACTGATATTCATGTTATTAATGAGCCTGAACCTTCAAAGAAAAGAGGGACGATACTCCATCCAAAAACTGATTTCCTATTTCCAGCTTAACTCCTATACTAACCAAAAATGTTTCTTCTCTGCCAGAATGTACACTTTCCTAGCCATTGTCCAATGAATTACTAGTTCCGGGCACAATTTTCATGTCAACAGCTTCCAGGAATGAGGTAGGAAAAAGACAACCTCCCAGAAACCCAAAGCACCTCCTTCAGAAACACAAAAAATGTGAAGGATAAGTCAGTGACACACCCCTTCCGGTTCCACCCCTGGAGCTTGATATATTGAGTGAAAAATCTGAGGGAATTTACATGCACTTGTCTGAATGTACATAGCTTCATCTCACCAATCAAAACCTAAACATTTGCTGATTATATAGAGAACCAATATACCTTCAGTTGTAGTTTCCCCCCTTCAGACTTCTAGCCAGTATTCAAAGACTAGTCAGAGAATTGGTATTGGGTTGCACAGATAGGGTCAAGGCCAAGAAGTATAACCCTGGTTCTTTCCTCCATTTTTTTCATTTAAATTATAAAGACTAATTTTCAGAGAGGGCTATAGAGCTGTGTATTACTTCAGATCTCAGGCTGGCCTCTTCTGGAATGATTTTGTCAAGGCACTGAAAAAGAAACAGCTCCCAGGACTAACTTGTAGAAGCATCCTTTCAGAAAAGTCAAGAACCAATATCAGATAATACTTTCTAGTGTCATAGAGCAATCCTATGCAGAAGGCTGATGGTGTTAAAAGTTGCTAACCAACCGGTTAAATCAATAGAGATGCAGTGGCCCTGACCAGTTCTGAGGAAAGTTTACAAAAGGAATGATAACTGTTTTGCTTTTGTAACCTGGCCCAACAATAGATTGTAATCTAAAAAATAACCAACATTATCCAGGAAAGACTGGAAATGCAGTGTAATGACTTGCTGGGATGTTGTGCGGAAAAAATGAATATTAGAAACCAGCTGGATATTATGTAGTGCAGTAACCATTCAACAGGGAATGTTTTAAGCAATAACCTTACAGCCAGGTCCCTCAGGTTCAGTGGAAAGATGTTTGTTGCATGAGGCACAGAACCAGGTCAGCAAGTGGTGATTCTGACTCATCCAACTCAAGGTACATAGTAATTTAGTTCCCATAGCATGTTTGGCTGGGTCAAGGGGGCAGGTTAGTCTGTTGTGGGGACATCAAAAAGGATTGAATAAAATCAAGTATAAACTAATTCCACTCAGTCTGCTGTGTTGATGAAAAAGCAAAATCCAGTCAGTTAATCCATTTGGTTTACCTAGTCCTCCAACAAAACAATCTGAAGAGAAAGAATGGCTGGCAGGGGAGTGGTGGAGGTGGTGGTGTCCATTTCAATACTCCTAAGGCCTGGCAATACAGAACATGCCTCTGTGGTAGCAGCCCCAAATACACCTAGCCAATGCAGAAAGTGTCAGTGATATAGTAGAGTCTTACCAATAGTATCCTGGAAAAAGGGCTCAGTGTTATTAGAAACTCCCTGGAGAAGTTGGCTGTGGATTCTGTATTTCCAAAATGGTAATTTTTTTACTTATTTAATGTGATTGCATGCTGTCAAAGCCACCACGATGGAGATCTGAGTGAGTTACTGCCTGATTAGGTTGAGTATGTTGTTGGACCAGGGCCACTATTTAAAGTAAGTCACTTTATTTTGGCATCTGTGGAAGAAAAGTCTACAAAACATCTCTCCCCTTTTGGACAGCACAAATAATTACAAGAAAAAAAATCTAATTAAATGCTTATTGCACTTTCATAAGGTGTAAAATGTACAGCCTAAAGTGACTGATTCACTCCTTGTAATGGGAGGATTGGTGTTGCCCCTCCTTCACTAGCCCAGGCCACCCCTGGTGCTTATGTCAAGTAAAAAGGGTAGGCATTGAAAATGGCAATAGGTCTTCTGTTGAAGAGATCTGTCCACACCCACACAATCATGTTAGTAGGACAATCAGTCACCATGGGTACATTAAATTAAACCACAATAGCTTTGGTATCTAAATTGGAACCCATGGCCTTTATCTGCAATGGCCCCCTCAATGGTCCTTATCACTGGCCTCTATTACCCTTCTTTTGAAAAAAAAAATAGTTCCCAATAATTACTTTTAATAATGCATAACAGATGGAAACATCAATAAAAGCTTTTCTTGCACTGGTGAGAAAAGCTGTAATTATTGGTTTCTTTTTGTCACATAGTTGTTAAAAAGATTCTCCAATCATGTTTAAAAGGGCAAATAATGGAGAATCCCTAATAACATACATTAGGCAAAAGTGGATGAAGGGAAGCTGTTTTGAACGGTGTGGTTCCTTTGAAGCTTACACAATATTAGACCTGGTTTATATTCAAGGGTTCTTTTTCTTAGGGCCAAATGTGTACAAAGAACTTTTTGTACCAAGAATTTAAACTACTCCTGTGACAGCTGCTTCCCAGCACTGACTTTCTCCAGAAATAACTAGCATGGGAAGAAGCCTTGATTACTTGATCTCCGCATATATCTCATCCTTTCTGGCTTGTTGTGACTGGAAGACTGTTCGTGAATGTAAGCAGGTGAATTTTGCCATTAAGCTTATGGGTTCGTTGTCTGAGTTCATTGGGTGGAAAATGGTCTATTGTGATTGATTGATCCATCCATCCATCCATCCATCCATCCATCCATCCATCCATCCATTGGAATGAATTGGCTTAATTTGGTGATTGCTTCATTTGTATATCTATTTGTCCCCCTTATTTTAAATATTAATATATATTTATATTTTAAAACAGCAAAGAAATGCCCCTATCCTGGACCTTTGAACAATGGACAGATATGCATCACTGACCTCAACTACCTGAGTGTTATAACATTTTCATGTAATCACGAGTAAGTTTGTGCTGTCGCCTATTGAAATAGACCTTTATTTCTCACCAGTTAAATTTGTAACATGTGCTTCATGTTATCCATATCAAGTAAAAGTATAATATTTTCTATTCTTGTTCTCCTTGTTGATTTTTAAACTAGTATGAATATCTTGCTTTAAAAAAATATTCAGCCCTCAGCCCCTTAGGGGTTTTACTGGGAATATTACATTATTGTTTCAGGAAGCAAGTATTGTAAGAACTACTAAATTGTAATTACAACAGTTATCAATGCACAAACTTCAAAAACCACTGCTTGGCAATAGTTGTTGTATTTGATCCAGAGGCTGCTGTTATTTGGCCATCTGTGAATGTAGGAGTATACAAATGTCTAACGGAAGACCAAATGTTTCACAAGTTGCAAGTAACTCAAGATCTTGGGCCAGTTAGAGATCTCATTCTGTATATTTTATGCATCCATTGGCAAAACAGTTTCAAAGGTCAGTTGTATCATGCTTCAAGCACTATTAAAATTTGTAAAGAAGAAACATAAAACCAAAATCTCACTTTGGTCCTGATCCTGCAACACACTAACCAATCCAAAGTTCCTTATTGGTGATTCTAGCAACAGACAACCACATGCATTAGATATACAGTTAATGGAGCCTTGCCTACTTTCTCCAGAAAGTGCCGGGAATCTCATGAGCCCTTGCACCATGTCAAGGCAAGGCTACAGGACATCACTAGGCCCCTCCCTATTGGCCAGGCAGGCCACAGCAGGTGGGGCTCAGTTGCTGCAGTCTGCCAATAGTTGAGAGGTACGCTCTCTGCTGCCACTTCTATAATGGGAGGCTCCCCCCCCCCTTTTTTTTGTTCCAAACGTTTTTTTTTTCTCCACTTCTTTTTCTGAAAAACTAGGTAGGTAAGCAAAACCAATTAACTTGGGTTTTGCTGTTCCCAACCATAACTATGTGGGTGGAGTTCGTTGGACTTTGTACGAGTCTGAATCATTTGGGGGCTAAATTTAGCCCTCCATAAATAAGCTGAGTCAATTGACACCTTTGTTGTAGTTTCTTCAGCACAGTAACCTCCTCACTGACTCAGTGAAAGATATTTGGGAACATGGCCAATATGTTCCAGATGTTCAAAAGAGAATCCCAACAAATTGGCAGGGTTCATATCGTGTCTTAAGCCATGATTTCTTTTACATTCACTTTGTTGTGGCTGGGTTGGCATGTCACTATATAGTAATCCACAAATCATGTTTCAGAAACCACAGTGGCTGAATTCATATAAGACAGGAAGCCAAATCAAACAAAATGTATTACTGCTGAATGCAATGAATGATTCCAGTCATTATTGTTATTGCTGTTGATCCCCTGCATTACTATTAGAGGATGTTTATCAAGCATGATGTAACCATTTTCACAACTGTTCTCATGTGAGTATTTTATACTCAGGTTTGTTCTTCTTGGACCAACAAGCAACTGATGCCAGCTAGATGGGCGTTGGCGTTCAAGGCTACCTGAATGCCAAGGTAATTATGAGAAGATATTAATATTCATATAAAGAGATGCACAGACTGTCTCACTACTTGGAGTAGTGGACTTATCTAGGTATTTAAGTTTTTTCAATGTCCAAATGTTTAGATGGGAAGACAATTGAAATAGGAAACTTCTTTTTAAATGATCTGAACCAGAAACATTCCTGAGGGAGAGCCATAATATTGAAAAGTGTTGGGAATAAGCCAAAACCAGAAGCTACATTTATGGCTTGGCTAGGGCTACTATACCTGGCCTGCAAAAATTGAAATGACCATGAGATGGCAACAAAGAATGGGCATTTCCTACATATCAGCTGCCATCTAATGGCTGTCCAACTTTTTTGCAGCTCAGATATGGTAGCCTTAGCTTAGCATGATGTTTAAATCAGCTTTGTGCATTTTTCAGTTTTTTTCCAGGTTTATTCCTGAACAGTTACCTATGTATTTTTTTTCTAAATAATTTTATTAAGAATTATAAATGAAAAGAATAAAAGCCAATACAGGCTACAAAAAAT